GTCATCAGCAAAAAGAGCTACGTTAGATTGAAGTTGTTAGGAAAATCATTAGTTGATAGCCAGTGTTAATTGTTTATATAATGTAAATTTAAGCATACATTTACTATTTATTAAATAATGGCATACTTTTAAAACTAATTTATTTCCAACAAGCTTGCAAGCGACCTTGTCGGAAGTAAGTTAGTTTAAATAGAGGACAGGGTTAAAGAGCAAGGAAATGATTAACTCAAAACTTAAAAATGTTGTATGTTGTATGTGTCAGGAAAATATGAAGATAGGTGAGAGCTATGAGGTTTTTACTGATGTGCAAGGAAAAAAAACTGGATTAATAAAAGTTTTTATAACATTAAGGGACAGATACGGTAAAAAGATGCGACTTTCTGATATCTTATTCAAGCCAAGTGAGAATGAGTTTTGGTTGATTGAACTAGAGATAATAGCTCCTTTAGGCAGTAAACATGATAATATTTGTAGAAAAAAAAAGTGATGGCTTAACAGATAGAGCAGGTTTAATTACATTTACAATGTGCCTTATTTGAAAGTGAAAGGGTTGTTATTGTCAATGTAGAAATGTCAACAATATTGCGATAGTTGTAAAAAATAACTAAAAAGACATAAGTTTTATGCAATGAAATGTAAAATAATAATTTTTATAAAAAATTATTATTTTTGAAATTTTTATTTAGTTTCGCTTTTTTTGAGTAAACACACACGCGCACACACACACACACACCCTCTTAGGGCAAGGATTAAATATTACTGTAATTATTCGTTTTTGTAAACAGATTTAAAAAAAAAAAAAAGTAATGTCAGCATGGAAAATAACAACGGTCAACGGTCAACGAACGCCTGAAATGAATAAAGTTGCTATTTTGACCTCCCAAGATGAATTTTTGCCAGACATGGTTGACTTATTTAAAAAAAAAAAATAGAGTTTTAAAAAATGTTTGAGAAATAATCAGGATTTAATTTAAAAACCCATATGCTAAAATTCATAAAATCATTCAAATTTTTAAAAAGCGTTTAATAATAGTTTTATTGTTTACGGTAAGCTTTATTGACAAATATTGTGCGTGACAAACTATATCTATTAATTTTTTTCTTCATTTATTTAGATTAGTTTCATTTTACTGGTGGTGAAAATTCTTTTTTTATATTTGATTAAAATTTTTATTTTTTTAATAAAAATATTTAATAATAGCTGTATTTAACTAGGAACATTTTTCCTTTTAGTTGTTCTTAGTCATCTTTTTATATATTCTCCTTAGTTTTTGTCGCAAATCGCAATGAATGAGAATGAATGATTTATAGAAAAACTTTTAATTAAATGAATGAATGATTCATATAAAAGTTTATAATTATTAATTGCTTTTTTTTTTCTGTAATAGAAATCTTAAAAATATATATATATTTACTTAACAATTGACTTCTTAGGGATCGTCCATAAAGTACGTACGCTCGGAGAGGAAGAGGAGGTCTGCAAATGGCGTTTCTGAGATAAGGGGGCAGTAGGTCAATTATAAAAGTATGGTGACACTAAATTTAAAAAAATATCATAAAATGTTGGGTTAGTAGGTTAAAAGCGTAGATACTTTTAGGGAGGTAGAGAGTACTCAAAAAAGCATACAGCAAATTGCAGAGGGGGGGGGGAGGCTTTTCTCGCCATTTGCGAAGTTATTGCAATGAATGAATTACTTTTAAATAAATTTATATAATTTATTTATTTATTTTTATTTAAAACTTTATTTTCAGTTGATTGTTTACAATAGTTTTATAATCAACAAAAACTAATTAAAATCAACACACTAAACTGTATAAGACAATACAAACAAACATACATATCATAAATAAAAGAATAAGAGAAGTTTAACCTTAGAGGAAAAAATGCGGTAGTAGTGTAGTGGTAGAGCGCTCGCTTCATAAACGAGTGGTTCCGAGTTCGATCCCCACCACCTCCCTGGTAGTACGGCGCTCAACTTGTTTCTCCGCCCAGCGGCCTTGTTCGTCAAGGTTCGTGTTTCGGAGTTATAGAGTTGAGAGAGGGTTATAGCCACAAAATAAGTAGCCTCCTCGTTTGTAGTGGCCTTCTCGGCCTTCAGGAGGTGAAGTAAAATTAAAAACAAAACAAAAAAAACCCATGATTTTTACATTTCCAACCATTAAAAATTGATCTTTACAATTTTTAAAGCCAGCTAAAAAAAATTGAAATTTGTCCGGATTTGCAACCATTTTATTCAAAGTAAACCATGAAATTGCGTTTGATGTTTCTATTTGAAGACAAGCAATAACACTCTCTAGGTTTTTGTCACAAACAGAAAGAGTGTTGTCATCAGCATAGTTGCAGATTTCAGAATCTTTTATAAATAAGAAAAAATCGTTGATAAAAATATTAAAGAAAATTGGTCCAAAAATTGAGCCTTGAGGTACACCAGATTCCATATCTAAATATTCAGAAAATGGCGATCCTAGTCTTACTCTCTGTTTGTGAGCAGAAAGGTAAAATAATAAGAGTTTGAGACTATCGTAAGAAAACCCATAACCTTCCCACTTAGCTATAAGCAAATCATGTGGAATTAAATGGTATGCCTTTGATAAATCCGTAAGCATAGCGCCAACTATACCTCCTTTATCCAAGCATTCTTGCCACTTATTAACTAAATTAAAAAGTGCGTGCTGTGCACTATACCCTCTCCGAAATCCACAGCAATTTGTTAAAGCTTGGCTCTATAAAAACCTGTATTTGCTCGTAAATAACGATTTCAAACACTTTTGAGAGAACTGGCAGAATACTTATTGGGCGGAAGTTACACTTATCAGTTGGGTCATTTTTTTAAAACATGGTATGACATCGGCCATTTTTAAGAAGGACGGGAAATCGCCTTGGGATATGCAATTATTTATACAAGAAGTGAGGCTTTCTCTCAAATCCGTGACATAAGTTTTTAACATAAACGTTGGAATATCTCCACTAGTCTTCTTTTTACTATTTAAAGAACAAATAATTTTTGTTATATCATCAGGAGTAATTTGATGAAATTTAAAATTTTGAGGATATAATTTGGATTTGTTTTTAATGTTTGTAATACTGGGATGGTTTGCATATCTTCTAATAGCAGATTCAACAAACACATGTACATTGCAAGGAGAAGGACAATAACTCATCTCACTATTTATAGGAGACGATGCAACGTTAGTGAAATATAAGTTGAAAATGTTTGAAATTTGAAAGTTTTTCGAAATAGTTTTCCCATGTTCAATCAATGTTATGCGATCGCTTGAATTACCAGATTTATTAGAAAGAAGAGGCTTGCATATCTTCTATAGAGATGTAGTGGATGACTTGAATAAATTTATCTCATTCAAATATATTTTCTTTGCTTTTTTATTCAAGTTCACTACGTAGTTTCTTTGTTTTCTATAAAGAAACAAAGAAATATCTGATTTTTCAATCTGGAAATTTTTTTTTTAATTTTGAGAAAAGCATAATTGCTTTTCTAAAATTCTTAGTCATAAATGGCTTATTGTTACCTCTTAAGATTTTAGTTTTCAATGGACCATATAGATTTAAACAGTTGTTTTTTCAGAAAATATAACACTTGAAAAGTTTTTAAAAGACCTGTAAATTAATTTTTTCGGAGGTAACTTGCAGAAAGTAGCCCTGAGCATTGTAAAAATAAGATTGTGATGGTCACTAACACAAGTTCAAATAGTCTTAGAGTGTTGGAAACACGTTTTTCTATTTGTTAGGATCTATACAAGTGGGTTTTTTGACCGATTTAAAACAATTTGGTGCTTTAATTAAATTACTACATTGATAAAGGCAGAGAAACTCGTTCATTATTTTATCATGAGGTTGTAAATTAAAATCTCCAATAATTATATAATAATTATATGATTGTAAGTAAAAATGAATTAATAAAATTGAAAAAATAGTTTTTTTTTTTTTTTTTTTTTTTTGTTGTTGTTGTTGTGGAAAACATAGTAGTATTGTTTCAACAAAAAGTGGCTTAAAATTTGATCTTTTGATAAAAAATTTTGTTAATAACGAATCATTATATTCCAAAAACTAGTTCTAATTGTCAGATTGATATTTTTTTACTTAATGTTATTTTTTTGAGCTAATTTAAAGTGCTCATATTACCAAGTGGTCTGGGTAATATAAGCACTTTTGCAAATTCCAATTTTCACTTAAGGTGCTCATATTACCCTAATCTACTCTATGCTTGTTTGCTTTTTTTTGTTATTGTTATTATTAACTTAAAACAGTGTAAAAATAACTATGTTATTAATAATTATTGATCAATTACTTTAACAAATAATTCTTTTTATAACATTTTATTTTAAATAAGCTCTTATATTTAATTTTTTTTGTACATTTTGATATTTTTATTGTCTTTTATTAAATTGTGTCATATTTTTCTGTTTTTTGGCTTTTGGTTAATTTAAATATATTTTAATTAATTTTTTACTGTGTTATAAAAAAAGTATATTTTATAAAATAACTGCTTGTAATGTAAAAATACGATGTGATAAAAAATACGAAGTGATAAGACTACTGTTGTCTTTTTTTTCGCCGACCATGTAAATATTTATTTATACATTTTGGTATTGTAGCAATATTTAAACGGCGCAATATATATATATATATATATATAAAAAAAATTGGACACCCTTCTGTATATGAGCAATTCGTCTAAAACATTCAACTATAACATTTTCTATATTGTATTTGTTTAATGTAGTCCATTCTGGCAATTTTTTTATTAAGATTGTTGAGTTATAGTGTGAAAGGTAGGAGGTTTTGTTACATTATAAAAGGGAGGAGGGTTTAACACATTGAATATAGTATATGATCTGGTTTATGCATTCACAAGAAAATCCTGCCCACATTTTTTTACCATAAACACCTGCGTGTATTCTTATTATAATGAATTACATTAAATTTTTATTGTTACATTGTATTTTAATTATAACGTCTAACCATTACACAAATATTTCAGATAGCGATGAAAGTAGCAATGAAGACATTACTACCGAAGACGATACTGATAGTTCTTCCTTTGATGAAGTTGATCAAGATGATGAAGAAAGTGACTCTAATGAAGATGATGAATCAGAAAGTGATTGCTCTGAGGAAGACAGTAGTGACGACGAGTTAACTGTTGAAGAAGTCAACAAGTTAAATTTAATTATAGGTGGTCTTAAAGTAAAATAACAATTATTATACTACGATTTTTATTAGTTTTCTGTTATTTAGAGAAAGAGTTTGTAAGTATTTTGGTACTAATTTGTAAATATGTGTATATATATAAATTTAGTTGAGAATCGGTATTCTTAATAAGTATAATATTTGTTTATTGGGTATAAATTATTGTGGTATGTCTTTGTTTATACTTTACATAAAAAAGATTTTCTGATTGGTAGCGTTGTTATCATCATTGTTGTTGTTGTTCCTTTTTGTTGTTGTTCTGTTGATCTTCCTTTATTTTTTTGTTGTTATTCTTTTTTATTGTCGTTGTAGTTGTTAATTTTTGTTATATGTTTTTGTTGTTGAACCTCATAATTCAGCGGTTCCCAACCAATGGTCCATGGACCCCTAGGAAACCATGAGAACTTTTTAGGTGGACTACAAGGTAAACAATGTAAATTCTAAATATTTTTTTGGTTAATGAGTTTAATTTTTGTTTTTCTGTTTTTTTCTGTTTAAAGAAACAAGTTAAATCTTAAATTAAAAATGTAATTTATGCTAGAAAACTATGTTAGACAAAATCAATGTGTCAACCGATTCTATTTTAACCGTCGAGGACTTGCGTACCACTACGAAGTAATAAATGCATTTATTACTTCGTTATGGTCCGCAAAAAATTACACTATATAATATTATAATTCTTTCATCCGTAGTCTTAAATTCTATGTATAACTATTTTTTTTTTATGGCAAAAATGCTTTAACTAACTGATTTGTTTGAAAGAAAGTAATTGGTGTTATTGTCTATGAGAATTCGATAATATACTACTCTTATCTTAATTGGATATTTACAATATAGATGTTTTTTATATTATTTTAAAAATAAATTAGATGTCTAAAAGTAAAAAAAGGTCATATTCAGATGAATATTTGAGATTTTACCTGCATTGCTAAAGAAACCATTAGCTACCCACAGTGTGTTATTTGTTATAAAGTACTAGGAAATAACTCTATGAAGCCCTCAAAGCTCGCTATTCACTTGAATAAGTGTCATCCTGATCTTCGCACTAAAGATATTGATTTTTCCAGTCCACAGATGTAAGTTCAATGGCACAATTAACTGTACTTTGTATGTATATATTCACGATAACAAATTCAAAGAAGAGTTTTTGTTCTCTTCTTTCCTAGAAACAACAACAAAAATAGCTGATATTATAGAAATTTTAAAACAGTTTTTCAACGACAATCAATTACAATAGAAATATTTGTTTAGAATTACAACTGATGGAGCTTCTGCCATGATGGGTTGTAAGTCTGAGTTGTAGATTAGAGTAAAAGAGATTGCTCCAAATGTAGTTGGTGTACACTGTTTTATTCATAGACAGGCTTTAGCAACCAAAACTTTACCAGATAGTTTGAAAGCTGTATTTAATCAATTAGTCAAATTGGTGAATCATATAAAATCTTCTGCTCTCAACACTCGACTTTTTACAAAGTTTTGCTCTGGCAAACTTAAAACAAAATATCTAAATTTAAGAAATAATAAGTAGAATTTGTAACAAAAACAATAAAAGTGTTTAATTAATTAAAAGCCAATAAGTGTCATATATGGGTAAAAGAGTTCATTTCCTTTCTTTTGTTAATGTGATAAGCGGTGTTTTATATTTTTTATTTTGTAATTGCTATTATAGCAATACTTTTTTCTCTCGATGAAGCAAGCATCATTATTTTTTTATTACTGAAATCTGTGACTGCATTAACACAACTAAAAAATTATATTTGACATTAACATCTATTTCTTTATCTTTTTTTCAGGCTGCTCATCCTAACTCAGTGACTACAATTCATGCAAGAAATAAATATCCAGAAACTTTAGAAAAGAAGGTCTGTATTATTCTGGTCCGCACAAAAAAGGTGTCCCTGCAAAAATGTTTTGTAGTGCAACTGGAATTAAACTATTATTGAGTTTTACTACCAGTAAACACCAATTAAAACAAAGACCTAAGTTTTTTCGCAAGCAAAGGTAATTGATTTAGTTATCACCTACAATTTAAGTGAGTTTTGACCACTGATAATGATTGTTAAAAAACAATTATTTAAAGATTTAGTTACCTAAATCTTTCTCATTCATCCCCAATTACGTTTCTAACCTATCTAAGTCTAACCTTAAGAAACAAATTTAAAAGTATTGCTAATATAATTAAATATCATATTCAGAGGTCTGTTTCCATGTATACAATAGCAGGCACATAGAGCTGTTTCCATGTATACAATAGCAGACACAGCTGTTTCCATGTATACAATAGCAGATACATAGAGCTGTTTAAATAGGAGTTACATTAGTATTACGGCTCATGGGATCACAGAAGATTTATTTCGAGTTTCTGTTGCGTTTGCTTGCAAATGTTTTAATGAAAGTTATAAATTTGATGCGGTTGCAGAGCAACTTTTTAATATACTTATAACTTATACTAAAACAAAGTTATAATTCGAAAGATTGTTAACTGTATTACTAAAACAAAGTTTTAGTAAAACAGTTAAAATCTTTCGAAATTCAGATTTAAATCAAAGGCTTAAAAAAAAGAAGAGGAAATAAGTAAACAAGAATGACAAGAAGAACAAAAACAATTTTGAAGATAGTAAGAAGATTGGTTATTTATTTATTTCCACTTTTTAACTTGTAATTATTATTTTTTTTAAAACATTATTTAACTTACAAATTTTCTTTTCGCTTTTACACATATTTTCAATTATTTATCGTTAAAACAATCTTTCGAATTATAACTTTGGGCTTCATCATCACAATACAGCATTCACTGTGACCAACGATGGTTCTAATTTTGTCAAAACATTCAATGAATGTCAATATTATACCGATTGTGATGATAGCGAAGATAAGTAAATAAGTACAATAGAAAATAAAGTTTCAAAAAATATTGGTATACTATTCAAAGCCAAGCAGTTTTTAAACCAAAACTGCCTAAAAATTTTATTTCTCCCTCATACATTGTTGTATATACTATGCAAACATTGCCTGGTGCAGCTCTAATATAAGTAAAATTAAAAAACTGCTTAGTAAACAAAAACATGCTGTCAGAATTATTTCAAATGCAGGTCGATTCACACATACTAAAGAACTATTTAATTATCTTCACATACTCAATGTTTTTCAGTTAAACCTTTATCAAATTCTTATTTTTATGTACAAACTTCATAATAAAATATCACCTATAATATTTAGTACACTTTTCAATAAAATTAATCACATGTACCCTACAAGATTTTCTAAGTACAATTATGAGCAACCTAAAATGTATTATTTGGCTACCAAATTTTCTATTGCTATAAGAGGTCCTAAATTATGGAACGCTTTATTAAGTGACGAGCTGAAAAATTGTTCTTCTCTTTATCTATTCAAAAAAAAAATTGAAACAAAAACTTATTAACGATGTTAATGAATTAAATTCTTTTTAAAAATTTTTTACTTTTATTTTTTATTTATTTTTAACAATTATCTTATTAACTCTATAAACTATCCTATTAGCTTATCTATAGTTTTGATTTTTTTTTTTTTTTTAATTTCTTTTTACTATTATCTTTTCATTATAGATTAGTAACTAGTTTTAACATACTTGTAAATAATTGTATATAATTTTTTTAAAGGCACAAAGTAATTGTATATTTAACTTTTAATGGTGTTACACGCTTGCTTATGAAAGCACGTCGGGGTGTAGTGATAAGGCAAGTATTGTCTTCTTTTAACCCCGGTCATGTAGATCTTATTTATACTACACGGCATTGTATTCTTTTTTTTTACTGACGAAATAAATAAAAAAAAAAAAAAAAAAAAAAGAAGATGTGGTATCACAGAATTTAACAGAACCGTAAATTTCATCAGATGATGAAGAAGGTACATATGAAGTAGAAATAATGCTGACGCCATTGACAAATAAAAAATAACAAAGTAATGACAAGTATTTAACAAAACACATCAAATGTACCAGTCATATTTCAAACCTGCTTGCCACAAATGACATTTCAAAACTGATTAAAAATGGTGTAGATTTATATCGGCGATAATACAGGGCGATTACGTCAGTGGAATGTCACAAAAAAGTATTTGTGATAAACATCGCGTGAAAAAATGGACCGTATCAAGACTATACTCCAAATATCGTTCTGCGTGGAAGTTGGCAGCAGATAACAAAGGTAAAAGACCGCGTTTCACCACTTCTAGAGAGGATTTTATGATTGTCGGATCTGTCAAGAAGGATCCCTGGATATCATCAGTCGAGATACAAAAGCAATTAGAGCTGCCTGTATTGGACCGAACAATCAGACGACGTGCTGTTGAAACCGGATTGTTTTCTCAACACCCTGCAAAGAAGCCGCTGATTTCATTAAAAAACCAGAAGAAAAGACTCCTGTTTGCTACATCTGATATTGACTGGAATGTGCAAAAATGGCAAATTGTCCTTTTCAATGACGATTTTTTTCAATGATGAATTTCTCTAAATTGAAAAAAGCAGCACTTTTATAAAAAGAAACTAAATTAGCATTATTTGGTTGCACTTGTTTTGTCCGATACTGTATGTCGGCTTTTAAAACCAATAGTAAAAAAAAAAACTCTCCAAATAATCGTTACATTAAAATCGCGCCGTTTCAAACTGGTGAAATTGGAGATATTAGATGAATACAAACAATTTATGAAACTTATTAGTGATGCTCTGAGCAGACTTCAATGGAAGTTAACTTTTCTTTGTGATTTCTCATGCCAAAGATTCAGCAAGTTTGTGCAAGACTTGTGATCCTTATTCCAAAAGTAATCTAACGCGGAAATCTAATTGAGGGATTAATTTCAACATAGATCAGCGTTTCTAGCATTTATTTGGATATAACAGCTCATCCAGGATCTATGCAATTCCAGCTGTACCTCATCCTCGATTGAAGCTGCAATCGTTCCAGAGAAAAAAGGCTTTTAAAAAAAATTTATAAAAGAGGCAAAAATATTAAATTTAGCTGAAGACTTAGCAGATGCTGGCAAACTTCGGCATCTGTAGCTGATGGACCCGTAATTGCTGTGCCACGCCTTCATCGGTTGTCAGATAAATATTTACAACAACTGTTATTACCCTACAAACATTTAGATTAGATAAGTTGACATTTTAAACTTTTATCTGCTTCAAAACACTTTTAATTGAAAAAGTACTTTATTAAAAGATTTTTTAGGTTGAGTATTTTGTATTTTAAATATTTTCTCATCAAGCAAAAACGTACCCAAGTTTGAGGTTTTATTTATCTCCGAAAGCTTTGTTTTACGTTTTATTTCTGTTATTACCTGATATTAGCATTAGTTTAATTTTTTTTATGAAAAATAAACTTTTATAACATAATATCTCACTTATTTAATCATATTTCTGATAGTGATATTGAATTGTTTTTTATATAAATTTTCAATTAAGTTAGCATACACAGTGTCAATAAATGCTTTTCCAATTAACAACGTGTTTACTAAATATTGTATCAATTAATGAAATTGATTGAATAACAAATGAACAGAAAATTAAATATAATACGCATCAAAAAGAACTACTTTAACAGTCCCATTCACAGAGAAAAAAAAAAGATCGAAAAAAAAAAATCTATAAAAAAAGTTTAAGAAGCCAGTTACTTAAATTTTTTTTTTATAATGTTAAAAAAAAATCATTAACTAATGAAGCTTAATTAAAGTAAACAATTTTTGAAAATTTTGAATAACTCGTTATAATAATGAAGTAAAAATAAATTAAACTCCATCATAGAAAAAGTTGCATCAAAGACAAAGCAAACAGTTTTTACCAGGTGCAAGTTTAAAAGGTGGCCATTTTACTTGAATAAGATTATATGAAAATAGAGTAAATAAGTAAAGGAGATTTAAGCTCAATTGCCACATTACATGCGTGTTTGTTTAATACCACTTTTAAAGAAAATGTCAAAAAATTAATTCTTTATTTTAACTAATGTTTGTATTTTTGACATCTAAAACTCCAATTAATAAACTGGAAGGTTTGAATGTTTCCGATATAAACAATTATCATAATAGCAATTTTCCATGTATTAAACAGGAGTAATTTTATGGGTGTGTGTAGGGGAATTTTTGACCCTCCCTCCTCCTTCAAAAAGGCTATTTACAAATTATAGTCGGGTTTTTTTATAGAATATAATTGGCTAGACGGCATTTAACACATTTCAGTCGTGAAATGTATAGTACTAAGAACTTTTTTTTTTTTTTAAAGAAAGCATTTAGCAGTCATTATAAATTCTCTCCCCCTCCTCCTCCTTATTATATTTCTGGAATCATCCCAGGTAATAAATACTGTATAATGATTAAACTCCACATAAAGCCTTCAAGTTCAAGAAATTGATGAAAAGCGTAACAAGAGACGTTGAACAAGGTAAAAGAAAGCAAATAAAAGAAACGATATCTTCGAAGTTGTTGAAAAAAGAAACTTATTTTTATGAAACCTTTTTTTAAATAATTAGTGTAATTGTCATAACCAAATGAGATTATAAATAAGTTATAATTAATTTTAAGCAAAAGTTTCATCAATATAAAATTTGCAGTAGTTTACCCCATTAAGAATGACGTAAAATTAGAATGGTCAACAATATCTTTCTTGTTCAAAACAAAAAGCGCAGCAAATAAAAATCTCATAGCAATTTGGTAACCACTACAGTGGTTACCAAAGTACACTGCACTGTCACTGGACAGTACACTATCGCAATCTTTTGTAAATAAACGCGGTTTGGGAATTTCGATCTAATAAACTTTCTCTTAACTGTAATAAAACTGAAGTCATCATCTTTAAATCCAGTTTGACACCTATTAAAAAGCACTTAAATTTTAGACTAAGCGGACAGAAAATTTATCCTGTGGGATCTATCAAATACCTTGGTATTAAAATTGATTCTAATCTTTCCTTCAAAGACCATCTAAATGACTTCAAAGACCATCTAAATGACTTGGCAATAAAACTCAGAAGATCTAGTGGAACGTTGGCCAAAGTCCGCCATTACGCAAATTTAGAAGCTTTGCTTAATATTTACCATGCTATTTTTGGGTGTCGTCTAAGATATGCATTTCAAATATGGGGACAATCCCAGAAACACAATTTCTCAAGGCTATCACATCTCCAAAATAAAGTCTTAAAGATAATATATTTTCAATCTAATAACTTTAAATCTAGTGTGCTGTACTGTATTTTCAATATACTAAAATGACCTTGTTATATTCCTTAACTGTCAATTTATCTGGAATTACCATCACCATAACCTTCCAGTATCGTTCAACAATTTTTATAATAAATGTTTAAACTGTCGATATCCTCTTCGTTCGTTTAATAATTTAAACCTACCTGTTTCAAAACACCTTTATTATTTTATTTTACTATCCTTATTACTTATTATTGCTATATATATATATATATATATATATATATATATATATATATATATATATATATATATATATATATATATATATATATATATATATATATATATATATATATATATATATATATATTGATTTAATGTTTATTGTTGTTTTAATTGTTTGAAGTATTTACACTATTAATATAATTATTATTACTATTAATATAATGTCTATACTGATGTATTGTATTAGGTATTTGCTTTCTAGTAGTACTCGTACTATTGTAAATATCCTTGAAGTATTTAACAAATTCTTTCAAAATATATTTGATTTGATTTGATTTCATTTGATTTGGAAAGCAGTATTGAGAAATATATTGCTCGAAAACGGATTAATATCGAATTTTTTTTTGATCAAAACGTTTTTTTGGGATTAATATCGAAAATCAATTTTAAGGAATTAATTCGAAAAAAAAATCGAAATTTATTTAGAAGGAATAATGTTGAAAATGCCTAAACGGAATTATATCGAAATTTGGATTTAGGAATAGTATTGAAAAACTAGAAAAGAGGTAGAACATGCAAGAAGTGCTGCTATATCGACTGACAAATAGGTAAAACATGCAAGGAGTGCTGCTACATCGACTGAAGGTTTGGTGTGGGCTGGCAGTTTATCAATTAAAAAAATTGAATCATAATCATTTTTTTAATTTTCGACATTATTAAACTTTTTCGACATTATTCAATTTTTAATTATTTCGGTGTTAATCCTTTTCTTCTTATTTCTATCTTATACTTTTATTTATTATACTTTTATTTATTATTATTATCTTATACTTATTTCTATCTTATAGCTTTTAGGATTTTCGATACTTTTTTTTTTTTCCACAAATTCAATTTTATTCTCTATTTGAATTTTAATCTGAAAGGTTTTTGAATTAGTTCTGTTTGGCTATTTTCGATACTGTTACAACAACCCCGCGGTTTAAATTAGATTTTAACGGAGAACTCTTAGTAAATATAAGGACAGTGGTCATAGTAATCGTAAATTTTTCAATCAGATATGTTTAAAAAGAAAAAAATAGAGAATAAAAAATTTTCAATAGTTCCATTTTTTTTTTTTTTTTTTTTAAAAAAAAAAAAAAAAAAAAAAATTCTGTTTTAAGGAAATCAAAAACCGCCATCAAACTCTAAATATAGATTTAAAAGAGATTTTTTTGCACCTAATAAGAAAAACAGAAAATGTTTGACAAAATGAAACAGAACAGTTAAAACTAAAAGTCATTGGGTAAACATTTCCTTTAATAAGTTTCCTGTTGATAAAATAAATTAAATGTTGATAAAATAAATTAACAATAAATGAATTTTAAAAAAGTGTTAAAAGAACGCTGTTATTTCAATTTTATAGTAAAATAGTTTCAACTTAAAATAGCTTTAACTTATCTTAAAATAACTTTATTTGTCTTAAAATAACTTTACTTGTCTTAAAATAACTTTACTTGTCTTAAAATAAATTTACTTGTCTTAAAATAACTTTACTTGTCTTAAAATAACTTTACTTGTCTTAAAATCATTATATCACTTATTTAATAGCAAATCACATTTTACTTTTTATTAAATGAAAAAATTTGTAAAGAAAATTTGATTTTTTTTTTTACTTAGTAGTCGGAAAATTATCCGCAGTTTTAATTCTTCATGAAAGAATAAGATAAAGTAAATATACTAGTTATAATATATTTAAAAAAAAAAAAAAAAAAAAATGTTTTTTAATGCATAATGTATTTTTTTAAAAAAGAAATTTGAAACAGAAAAAACCCAATCTAAAAAAAAAAAAATGAAGAGAAACTGATAGAAGCAACTACATCTATGTAAATATTTCTAATTGGAAATTTCAATATTGAAAGTACTCATAACAACCGATTCAAAAGACGTGCTTATGATGTGTAAAATAATATTTATAAAGTTATTTTCTGTTTTAAGAAAGAAAAATTATTAAGTAGAAAACAAAAATCTTCTTGTTTGAGTTGCTAGGAATGGAAGAGCACACCTTCATCAAAAAAATACGAAAAATATCAGGGTTGGGTCCCCACACCCAAAATTTAATTGATGATCAACAAAAGAAAGCGGAAAATGAAGAATTATCGCTTGTAAAAGAGTTGTTCTTCATGAATCAAGCTTTAATGAAAGGACGTCGCAATGCTATTTCAGAAATTCAGTTAATGCCCGAGGATTCCCTTAAACTAATGAACGCAGCAAGATCACGAAAAACAAGCGAAGCAATTGATTGGGAATTATCCGAAATTAAAAAAATTATTCAGTACCAAAATATTGTGCGAGATTTTGAAATAAAATGAGAAACTAAATGAAAGAAAGCTCAACCAGAATTTATATGTTAAATGAATTTTTTGCCCTGTTTTAAGCGCTGTTTTCATTTCACATCGGAATCAGACGAACAATAAAACAGTTTACTAAAGTATTCTATTTTTAAATAGTTATAATCTTTTAATACAATATATTATTTCGTATAAATTATTTAAAAGCATGTACAATTAAAAATCTTTTTTTTAAAAAAAAAATTTAAATATATAATAAACGTGTGTTTCATAAAACGCAAGCGTGATCACGAAAATTTTTTCCCAAAAAAATTTTATCGGATTTTTAAAACACACTTGATATTTAGGATCGAACAAGAGATCTAGCTTTATCCAAAATGTCTTTTTTTATTTTGGGATAATTCGAATATTTATCCAAAACCTAAAAACCAATTATTATTTTTGTTTATAAAAAATATTGAAGCAGATCTATATTTTAATAGGTTTCACTAAAGTAGCATTTTCAAAGTACTAAAGTAGCGATTTCAAAACTATAATTTAAAATGTTTACTATAACTCATAAGTTCGAAAAAGTAAATTGAAATCAAAGTGAAATACAAATATTTAAAAAAATAATAATAAGAATAAATTTATATATTTTTCTAAATAGCTTTTTGAAAAATGTATAAACTTTTTTTTTAATACATTCACGCAAGATTCCGAAAGATTGAGGACAACTATATTTGTCTCAATCGAAAAGGATAGTTAACAATAGTCTAAAAGGATACTCATATATTTTCAAAAATGTTAATCACACACAACCACTCTGTTAACCCTAAATAAATAACGCAAACCTCGACTAACAAGTGCGCGGAGAAACAGGTTGAGGTATTACCGGTGAAACAGGTTGTGGTATAACCGGTGACGTATTGCGGTTTAAACTCTGTAACTCTCAACAAGTTGAACGCGTGACCAAGGCCGTGGTGGGAATCAAAATCAGAACTTCTTGTTTACAAAATGAACGTTTGAACGTTCATTTTGTAAACAAAAAGTTGAACGTGTGACCAAGACGCTATTACACCACTAATAGTTCAATTTAAAAAGAAAAAAAAATCTGTTGTGCAAATTAAAACAAAATTACCTGGTTGCAAATATTAATAGCATCAACATATCTTTGTGATTTCAAATAATTAAAAGCAAGCCGATAACCTTAAAAAAAAAAAAGAAACAATAGTTGAAAAAACATAATCATTTCATAATATGGTGTTATGCGTTAATAATGCGTTGCACGTTAACTGCGTTAATAAACGTTGCGCTGAGTTTAAAGTTAATTTTGTTATAGTTAGTGCAACTTTACTCTACATTTGAACTGTTATCATAATTTACATATCTTTTATATTATATTTTATTACATAGCTTTTAACCTAGTAGCAAAAATCTAATAGTAATAATAATAATAATAATAATAATAAAAAAATAGCGTCATAAGCGTTTAAAAAAAAGTTTCATTTATTACACAGCACAACTTATTTTAACATTTGTAATTATTTACTTAATAATTAATTACCAATAGCGGGGTTAGATTCGTTAGAATACTTCCATGCTTTTTCATACTTTATAGACGCTTCTCGATAATTTTGTTCTTTCTCCATTATAAAACCACAGTATTCCCATGCTTTTGCGCAACTCTAAAAATAAAAAACTCCCGACATTTATATTATCGGAGAGAGAGGAGAGTGGTTAAACTTGTTTTTTACATAAAATTAAAACTTTACTGTGAAAAATGGTGGTACAAATAACGCTCAAACTATTGTCGTCGCTAGCTACTACCTTTTCCCATCTTTTTGGCAGCGTCTCACCAAATTTGAATATAGTATTTGAATATTTAAAAATTGGGATAAATGAATAAAAAACTAGTTATTTCATATTTAATAAAACTCTCACAATTAATTCACACATCCAATATAAAGCATGAAAATATTTTCACTGGAGTAAAATAACAAGCGTGAATATGGCTTTGCTAAATTAAATAAAAAAACATGGAAACTGTACTCACTAAAATAAATATGGAAACTGTTTAAGCTCACTAAATGAATATGGAAACTGTTTAAACTTACTGAAACAAATTTACAAACATTAAAAAAATCTAGCATTACTGGATTAAATTAAATAACTAAAGATGCAGTATAATATATTACATTATTAAATACATTTAAAATAAATCAATTACAAAATGCACAGAACAGTTTCTAATTTAAAAAATCCTTACTTATTATTAGGAAGCTGAATAAGTGCGAATTTCATAAGTGCAAACTAGCTTAAGTGCCAAGCAGTTGCAAAAACTGACATAAGTTCAAAATGGCATAAGTGTGCCAAAAGAATGCAAACATTGGCATTAGGGCAAACTGGCATAAGTGCGAAGCAGTAGCAAAAACTGGATCAAGTGCGAATTGACATAAATGCTCTGAATAAAATTGCAAACATAAGTACAAACTGGCGAAGTGCGAACTGTTACAAAAATAAGTGCAAAGCAATTACAAAAACAGGCATAATTGAGAATTGCCAAAAGCGAACAGAATAAAAATGCAAATATTAGCATTAGTGCAAACTGGCATTTTGTACTTATGCCAGTTGGCACTTATGCCAAAGTTTACAGATTCTTTGGACGCACTTATGTCAGTTCGCATTTATGCCAATTTGCACTCATGCCAATCTTTGCAAACTCTTTTAGCGCTTTTATATCAGTTCACACTTGTGTCTATTCGCATTTTATTATTATAATTATTAGTATTTTATAAGTTCATTTTATTAGTGTTTTTCTCTGTAGGTGTCTGTAGATGTTAGTTACACACCCAATAAATTTTTTTTTTTTTTTTTTAAAGATTAGATACATGCTGATTAATATTTTCAATTAAAAAAATATTTTTAAATTAATTTTTAATCTTAAGAAAACCGTTAATATACTATAGTATATTTAAATAAAAAATAGTGAATTAATTATTTATTTAATTAAATATAAAAACTAAATATAGTTATTTAAATCAGTTAAACATAACTTTTAAAAACAAATACCTGTCGGATAGCATACTGATTAGAGTATGAATAGGTATGATGTAGCAGGTGAAGCAACATGTAAAGTTTAACTTTTGTGTTTTTAGTTTTTATATCCTTTAATGGCGAAAATTATTTTGAGTTTTTTTTATTACAGTATTGTACAGTATTTTTTGCTTGATCATACGGTATAAAATTCATTTATTTTTAATTAAAAAATTTTAATATTTCCTGTTAGTAAAGTGTTAACATTTCCTGTTAGTAAAGTGTTAACATTTCCTGTTAGTAAAGTGTTAACATTTCCTGTTAGTAAAGTGTTAACATTTCCTGTTAGTAAAGTGTTAACATTTCCTGTTAGTAAAGTGTTAACATTTCCTGTTAGTAAAGTGTTAACATTTCCTGTTAGTAAAGTGTTAACATTTCCTGTTAGTAAAGTGTTAACATTTCTTGTTAGTAAAGTGTTAACATTTCCTGTTAGTAAAGTGTTAACATTTCCTGTTAGTAAAGTGTTAACATTTCCTGTTAGTAAAGTGAACTTTATTTGCTTGCTTTTGCTTGTTCCAAAAAAAAGTTATGAAGAAGAAAAAACTAAAATAAAGAGATTTCCTATTTAATGGAACAATTTATTTATTTTAAATAACTATATAACTATTTTACACTTATTTATTAACTAAAATTTAATTATGTATCAACTTCTTATATAAATACAAGTAACCTACATAAATTAAAAACTAAAAAAAAAAAAAAAAAATCTATCTGAGTCAATAAAGAAAGATTCACACAATAGCAAACTTAATGGTGCAACTTCAAAAACTTCGAAAATAAAATTTGGCAACTTATGACTATATAAAGTGTAATTTATCAGTTCAGGATAAAGAGCTCTTTCTATTTGGTACAAATAGATTGGTACTAACACAGTCACCAATGTAAGTACTGATTTAGTTGAAATGTTTAGTAAACTTGCTGATTTGGGTTTCAGTAGAAGCCCTAGTGCAGGTGTTGAGATTTGTTGCTCATCAGGGGCATGTTGGACATGCCCCTGATGAGTGGTGTTAGATTTGGGTTTTAGTAGTTGACAAGTTTAATTTAATCTAATTGCTAGTTATTAACAATATACAAAACAAACTCATATGTTAAAGAAAAGGTAAACCAAGCAAAGCTTGGTGTTATGTTTTCTTTAAACTTTGAAACCATTAGACAAGAGAACTGCAGATAATATTGCAACACCAAGAGCAGTTTCTTGTACTGAAGATAGTATGAATAAATAATTCATTACATACCAGACTCAATTTCTTGAAGCAAACATTAATAAATACCCTGCAACAAATGTCTGGAATTTCAATAAAATTTTTCTTCAAGGTGACAAGGGTAATCAAATAATTTTCTGCAAAAAGCTAAAATTAACTAATGAAATAAAATGAAATAATAATAGTAATAATAATAAAAAAATTAGACAGCTGTGTATATTTATAACTTTTAAAGCCAAACACTTTGTAGTGTATTGGTGTACAAAAGGCCTAAAAAATGAAGAGTAAACTACTTCACCATCATGTAGATGGAATACAAACAATTCATCCAGCTGCTGAATAAAATATTTATTCTAATATACCTAAACATTTCTGGTATCCATGTGTTAGTACTTAATGGCCTCATCACACACATAAAATACCAAGTTGCTTTTTTTGTGTTAAAAACAACATCTATCTATATACCTATCAGGTCTATATGCCTACCAGATCATTTGTCAAACATTTTTCAGCCTTTAGATGTTGATGTGTATTGCCATGTTGAAATGATTTACACCAATTTTAGACAAATATTACACTAACTCAATACACAGCAACTTATTTAAAAAAGCTTTTTCTCAGCTTCAATCAAAACTCTATGATTCTGGTAAATGTTTTATGCCACATCAAACTATTGCAGAACTTCAAAAACATGGGCTTTTTTTCTGCTAGACATAAACAAAGTTGACAAACCTAAATTGCAAATTGCAGAAACATTTCAACCACAAAAAGATGCATGTTTAGCATTTTG